GCACTGACGTCGCACCTCGGAGCGGCGGCTCCGCGCGGGTCCGGGCTCTCCCGCCGCTCGGAGCGCGGGCGGCCACGTCTGTGTGCGGGCCTGTGAGTGCTTATGTGCGCGGGGCTGGCTGAAACGGGGCTTGCATTTCGCTCCCCGCAGACCCGGAGCCAATTTCGGAGGCACCCGGGCTCTGGGGGGCCGAGGGAGGCAACGCGCCCCCCGCCGCAGCTTCGCGGGGACCGGCCCGGGGGCCGGAGCTGCCCGGGGCGCCGCTCAGCCGCCAGGCCCGGCCCGGAGCCCGCGGCGGGGGCGGCGGCCTGCGGGGGCGGCGCGCGGGGGGCGCGGGCGGGGATGCTCGGGGCGGCGGGCGCCGCAGCCAGAGCCTGCTCACGGGGGCGCGCTCGCCACGAACCAGGGGAGTGATTTCGGGGGGGTGGGAGGCTCTCCAGTGCCCCATCTTTACGACTCTGAAGCCACTTGAAATAGAAGATCTAAATAAAAGCTGCGCGGTTGCTAAGCAACCACTGCTGCGGGAGAAAGCCCTAGCCTCCCGGTCCAATCAGCGCGCCCCTTCCCGGGCCCCGCCCCGGTGGAGACTGCGGAGGCGCCGCGGTGCGCGTTCGCGTTCTGCAGCCTGGTCCGCGCGCGGCCCAGCCCTGCTCGGACCCGGGCAGCCTCAGCCCGGGGGCCCGCCGTTCCCCCGGCCCAGCACACCTGCCCGACATCACCAGCATCGAAGCAGTCTCGATCAGTGTTCTAAAGAGAGAAAGGGAGGTCCTAGCGCCCTAGGTATCTTACATTCTTATTTAACCCCCACACAATACTATGAGCAGGTAATTGTCCCCTTTATAAAGAAGAGAAGCTGCAAAAAATAAAATAATAAAATAAAATAAAATATAAAATAAAAAGATTAGCCTGGCCCGTGTGGTTCAATGGTTGAGCATTGAGTTTTTGGCTCGATCCCCAGTAGGGGGCGCGCAGAAGGCAGCCCATCAGTGATTCTCATCATTGATGTTTTTATCTCTCCCTCTCTTAAATCAATAAAAATGTATGTAAATATAAAATAGGATATGACTTTCAATCATACTTATTTAAACAAAAGTTCTATCGAACTCTGCAATGTGCCCGGCACTGGTGGCATCTCAGAGTCTTCACTGGTCCTTGGGATTGAACATGGCAGTCAGGGGAAGAGAGGTGCTCAGTACCCCTGTAGGCACATCACACAGAGGAATTTGGCCTGGAGATGGTGGAGCAGTCACTCTCCAATAATGAGTCATTGACATGAGTAAGTAAGTAACAACTTAGACTCATAGGAAAGTTATGGCAAGGGGAACTGGGAAAGAACCCTCGTGCTAAGGAAAGGTGTGTGTGTGTCCTTAATTCCACTTAATGAATCAGAGAATTTTAGATATTTGATTCCAAACTCCTTATGTCATGGAAAGCGTTACCAACATACAGGGTCAGCGCTAACTGGTTTGGCTCAATGGATAGAGAGCCGGCCGTGGGCAGAAGGGTCCTGGGTTTTATTCTGGTCAAGGACACATCCCCAGTGTGGGTGTGCAGGAAGCAGGTGATCAACATTTCTCTCTCATGGATGTTTCTAACTCTCTATCCCTCTCCCTTCCCCTCTCTCTCTCTCTCTCTCTCTTTTTTTTTTTATTTAAATAAGGTATATTTTTAAAAAAGATACAGGGTCAGCAGGCTTGTATGACAAACCGTGAGCAGTTAAGGTTGTACTATTCACGCACAACAAAAGAGTGGGAAAGCCACAGCTGAATGAGGGCTGCATGTGTTCTCTGACAATAAGCGGTTTATCGTGAGCCTGGCTTCAGAGGCAGCAGTGTAAAAGGGGTGAAGATTGTATTTAGTTGCCATCTGAGGAGAGAGTTACAGGTGGTTTGGTCTCCCCCTTTGTTAAAGCTGAGAGAATATTCACAGGCAGTACATACACTGAACAGTGGCTATTATATAATCAGAATCAAGCATTCCTGCAGGTAAAAGAATGACATAATTACCGCTTCTGTCCTGCCAACAGAGGGAGCCAAAGCATGGACTATACCCACCCATAAGCGTGCTGTTCTCTGCTCTTCTGCAATTTTGAGTTCCCTGGACAGCAGAACCCTAACTTAAACCCTACTTCACTTCGGTATTTTAAAGTTCAAATCCATTATACATCATTGGGAATCTGTAATAACACTTTTCATGTTTGTACAGCATAATTATTTTTAAGTGAAGATATTTTTCTGTTTGTATGCTTGGAAGCAGCTTCAGCCTTCCCCAGAAGTAGAAGTCTACTATACTGTTATATATTTTCACTCGCTTTGCTTTGCTCCAGAGGGAGAAGGTAGGTGGAGTACCAGTTTAATTCACCGCAGCGAGTGTTTAAGGAGGATAGAGCTGAGTCTACTGTGGGACACGGAGTGGAAGTTTAAGATACAATTCACGGAGACTTCAAATTCCTTGTGAGAAATATGGCCATGAATATGGAGCAATAGGCAAATACCAAGATAGTGTATGAAAAAGAGGCAAAATGTGATTGGACAACCCTACCAATAAAATATTGAGTTTATACTCCCAAATAATAAGCACTTACTACTATCCTAATTATAAAACATAACCCCCAAATTTTTTAAAAGTGTGAGATTTTGCCTTGACTGGTTTGGCTCAGTGGATGGAGCATCAGCCTCTGGTCTGAAGGATCCTGGGTTGGACTCCAGTCAGTGACATGTACCTTGGTTGCTAGTGGGGGGTGTGCAGGAAGCAGCTGATAGATGTTTCTCTCTCATCGATGTTTCTAACTCTCTATCCCTCTCCCTTCATCTCTGTAAAAAAATCAATAAAATATATATTTTTAAAAAGTGTGAGATTTAAAAAAACAAAGACTTATAGAGGTCAGGAACACAGGCTGTGGAGTCAGACTCCTAGTGTTTACATCTTGGAACCTGCCTCCTCTTTGCAAGACATGATTTTTTAACTTCTCAGAACCTTCTTTTCCTCATCTGAAAAACACTAAAATTGTGAGGATTACAGGGATTAGTCCTTGTAAAATTTTATCTCAGTTCTGGCATTTGTTGTTAGCAAGCAACTCTCAATAAAGAAATCCCACATCCAGCAAGAAGAAACCAAAATTCAGATACAGCATCAGCTAAATTTGTTGCAATCCAAGAAACATTCTCTGCCTCCCTACCTACTCCTACTTGACTGTAGACGTCATGTCTGCTACTAAACAGAACACCCAGCTTCTCGGACTGAAAACATCTACCTTCAGTTTCATGATTTTCTCACAGTTCTCTTCTCAAGATCCTTATGTGGATTCTTATTTTCATGCATCTCCAACCATCTAGTTTCCCAGAACAAAGGTATGGTCCACCCCAAAGAACTTACGAAGACTTGTCTCTTTCCAGACAAAATCTACTTGCAGTATTTAAATGATGACCCTTTTCATCCTAAAAAATAAAATTAAATAAGTAAGTAAATAAATAAATATCTTGGTCCTGAGTTTAAGCCAATAACCAAACTATAGTAGGTGGCAATATGGGAATAGGGGGAGGGAAAGGAAATTTTCCAGAATGAAGGAATTTGGACATTAATACAGAACAGAGAGACAAGTGGGTATTTATGGTTGTATAGTTGGGGATGAGGGAGATAAGGTTGGGCAGGAAGGGTTGAGTCCAGTAGTGGCAAAGAGGATACAGGCAGGCTTGATTCAGGAGGAGGAAAGTGCGCCTAGCCAGTTTGGCTCAATGGATAGAGTGTTGGCCCGCTGAAGGGCCCTGAGTTAGATTCCAGTCAAGAGCACGGACCTCAATTGCAGGCTGGGTCGGCCCAGGGGCAACCAATTAATGTGCCTCTCTCACATTAATGTTTCTCTTTCTGTCTCTTTCCCTTCCACTCTCTCTCTCAAAAAAAAATCAATGGAAAATACCTTTGGGTGAGGACTAAAAATATAGAAGAAAAAGGTGGAGAAGAAGGAGGAAGAGGAGGAGGAGGAGGAGGAGGAGGAGGAGGAGGAGGAGGAGAACAAAAAGGAGGAGGAGGAGGAGGAGGAGGAGGAGAACAAGGAGGAGGAGGAGGAGGAGGAGGAGGAGGAGGAGGAGGAGGAGGAGGATCTAATGCAGCAGGCACTGGGGAGCTATTCCTTTTGGTGATTAATTTAGGGAATGGAGTGCTGGCTGACTTGACTAGCTGCAGAGGGTCAGGGAGAACATTACATCCCAATTAATCTGTACTTGGTGTTTTCCTATGACTTCATCTCTCCAGCAAGTCAAACTACAAAGAAAAAGGATGTGCCTGGCTTACAGCCTCATAGGAATAATGACAGGCACACAACTGTGAGGCAAGGTAGAAAGGGTTCCAAGTGAGAGAGGTGCAGTGGTATCCGACTTTCAGGGAAGGAGAGAGATCACATCCTGAGAGGGGTAATCAGGGAGAAACCTGCATTTGGAAAGGGTATTGAACCTGCTGCATCCAGCCTCGGTGGGCAGGGGAAGTGAAGGAGACAGGACAGGCTGGAAAGCAGTAGAGGCTGCGCATTCCAATGCACAGGAAGGACTCGGAGGCTGGCCAGGATGCTCTTTGTTTGTTCTCTGATTCTTGCCCACTTTCCCCTTGGAATGATCCATCCTAAGCATTTTATATCTTCAAGGTGTCGGGTGGACAATCTGAAGCAGTGGCACATGTGCTGGCTGAAAGTCCGCTTTTGTTCTGGAACATCTATCCCTGACTACAAACGGTTTACTTTTGTATTCCTGACAGTGTGATGACGTCACTGTTAAGTCATTTGTATAGTGATGGGGTCACTATGGCTTTTTTCTCAGCTTGCCAGTAGCAGAGTTAAAAATCCCGGAAAGGAAAGGCCTAAAGATCGAGTTCTCCACCAGAAGCAATGAGGAGGCATAAGAGAGGGGCCAGCCCTTCTCTTCTGTTTCCCTGGGAGATCCTACTCGGGGCCAAGGGTTTATCTTTATTTTTAAAAATAATTTATTGGTTAAATTACAGAGATAAAAAAGCAATTCCTAGAAGAAATGGGCTTAGGAAACAAGTTATAGGATAAAGGAAGTGCCCTTAGAGCGTGGGAGTGAGGAAGCTAATGGTAACCTGCCTGAGGCAGGGCAGGGGAGGAGGGAGGGAAAGGTATGGGGGCATGCTCCCTGGAAGGAGAGCTGGGTTTGTCATTTTTAAGCCCGTGGTAAACAATAATCATAAATGGAAAGACTTGCAGGTATTGTCATAGCAGATCCTATGGTAGAGCCTTGAACATGACTCACACCAGTGTTGAAACAGTGCACGGGTGAATGGATTAATTATCAGGCTACACTATGACCAGGGCCGATACCCAGCTGTTGGTGCCTATAAGGGCCAAGGTTCATTCCCATTGGTCAAAACTCCACCCTATTGGGCCGGCACCCCGACTGTACATTAATCATTAGAGATAGCCCCCAGTTTGGGAGAACAGGTCTCCACATTGCAAATTGGGTTAAAAAGAGATGTTTCGAACTCAATTAATATGACATATTCTTAGGACTGGTTAGAACCTGATTGGCTGGGGCTCTGGATAGTCTCAGGGCTGCAATAAGGTGGATCTTGGAGAAAGTATCGGGATTTAAAGTAGATCACACAGAATGGGTGAATATAGCTCCTGAGTAAATCTGGAGGTGAAACCTGAGAGCAGCAAAGGGGTACAAAGACCAGGAGCAAGAGGTGGATGGGCAGGGGCTCACTGAAGTGGAAGGCAATGAAGAAGGAACAAGAGGGAGGAAGATGTGTCAGGAAGTTCAGCTATAAGGGACAGAAAACCCAAAGCAACAGACGTTGCAGTGAACGAAAGTGCGATTCTGGAAATGAGCCGTCCACAGCTGATAGGGCAGCTCCAGGAGCATCGCGGTTCCAGACGCCTCTCTTGCTGCCTCACCATCCTCAACTGCTTCTCCCTCTTGGTCAAAAGTGGCAGCTCTGACTCCAGCCAGCTGGTGGAGGAAGGAGCACGGTGAGCATGCCCCTAACTTTAAGGCACGTTTCTCAGTCTTGGTACTTTGTCATGTGGGGCAGATAGTTTGTTTTGGGGGCTGCCCTGTGCACTGTAGGATGTTTAGCAATATCCGTGGCCTCCACCCACCAGGTGGCAGTGTTACTTCCTCCTTCCCAGGTATGCCAAAAAATTTCTCCAAATGTTGCCAGATGTCCGTGTTAGGGGTGGAGAGGTGGGATGGAGGAGTGTGTGTGTGTGTGTGTGTGTGTGTGTGTGTGTGTGTGCGCTAAATCTCCCCGGATAGTGAATCAGTGCCTTCAGTTGATTTCCTCAATCTGCACCGATCCCTCTGCTTCCATTCCTTGATCAGAACTTAGTCACAAAGGCAACTCTTAGTGACAAGGAGCTGGGAAATGTGGTCTTTGTTCCAGGCAGCTAAAAAGTCAGGATTCCTATTACTAGGAGGAGGAAGGTGAGAAGAGATACTGGGAAACAATGCAAGAGCAGGGACTCAGACAAACTTTGGCTGTTTTGTCCCAGCTCCCAGCTCCTGGCTCCTTGTTAAGGGTGGAACAGCCTTAAGCAGGAAAATATGTGATCACAACTGCAGGCAACAGCATCCTGGATCCATGAGGTGGAAACTGCCCTCGCAGGGGCTGAGCCCTTAGCAGAGAAAGGTGAGCGCTGTGTTCTTGCTCATTGCCTTTCAGCATGTCGCCTTAACTCGGGTTAGCAGTCTGTTACAGGCACTGTACTTCCTAGTTGCCCTTGACTATGGACTTCTGTTCTTGGTTTTATTCCCCATGAAGTGGCAGCAGTGTAACGTTTTTCCCTTCTTGCCTCCCTTCGTTTCTCTCTTCTCCCTTCCTCCTGTCTTCCCTTTAAATGTACTAATAAGGGGACTGAATACAGACTCAGGAGACCTGAGACCTGGCCTGGTCCTGCCACTCACTTAGGGTAAGTCACTCAACTTCTCTGGCCTCAGTGTCTTCATTTGTAAAGCAGGGCTGGCCAGGTGATTCCTAGGGTCCTCTGTAGCTCTAAGATGCTTTGATCCTCCAAGGTCTGCGGGCTGTGGGGCCAGCAGAGAGCACCCCTCCAGGATGAGTAGCATCAAGACAGCCCGCGGCCAGGTCTCGGACTGTAGACTCCCCTGTGGGCAAAATCCCAGCCTGGCTGATGCCACTCAGATCCCCCCCACGGCTCCACATGGGCAGCTTTGGAGAGCGGCCCACTTGTCCTGCTAAATCTGACCAGCGCAAAGCATCCATATGTGCTCATTACAGCCTGTCCCTGTGCCAGCCTTGGGCTCCCAGCTAACGCTGAAGTGGCCCGTGTGGTGGCACAGCTGGCCTTAGGAGGAGGTTTTGTTTCATTTTTCAGACTCCCAGGCCCTGTTTAAATTCCGTTTCTTTAAGCTAACATGTTTTCACTTCTTTATTTGTTCAATAAACACTTCTTGAGCACCTGCTGCTCTGCGGGGCCCCGGGACTAATAAAACAAACAAGTCACAGCCCCCCCCCCCCCCCCCCCTCCTTTCTGAGCTTGCCCTGGCCCTGGCCTTCCTGGTCTTCCACCTCTTTCCCCACCTGCTCTCCGGCCTATTTCCCTTCACTGGCTACAGGGCTCTGTGTGGGTTTCTCTCACCTGGCACAACACACACACTGACTCACACACACACACACAAATATTCATACACACACACACACTCATACACATACACACTCACACACACACACACACACACACACTCACACACACACACACACACACACACACACACACAACTACCTCTCTCCTTGGCCGTGAATTTCTCATTCTTTAGGTTTCAGCTGAAATATTCCATCTTTAGGGAAACGTTCTCTGCCTCCCCGCTGTCTCACCCCCGACCCCAGGATAACGTGCTCCTCCCTCACATTTGCCTCCACCAGCACCCCGATTTCCCTTTTCAACACATTCACCACCTTTCACTGCTCCTGAAGTCTCTTCCTCAGGGTGCGGACTCTGTGGCAGAGCTGGGGAGCCCGGTCTCTCTTCATCACCACCACCGGATCGCTTCCTGGCACACAGTAGGCCCTCAACAAGTGAAGCATGAACCAATACATGGGTGAAGGGAGCTGTCAGAGGGAGAGACACAGAGACAGGCATAGTCTGTCACGAGCTCTACCAGGAATGTGGGCACAGGCTGGTAGAGTGAAAAGAGCCCCGGCCTCTGGGGAGGGATGGAGATGTGTCCCTGGTCTTAAAGGAGTAGGAATGAGAAAAGTGCAGCAGAGAGGCAAGAAGAAATGGCAAGAGTGAAGACAGCAGCCGGGTCCCTGGCAGTCCCAGGGCCTGGGAAGGTCAGTAAGGCCGACCTGGAGGATCTAGGGCCGGCAGGGGGCACTGTGAGCTCTCAGCCCTTGGCTGGCTTTTGCATTGGAGCACCTGCCAACTCACTGCCTCTGCTCTGCCTCCCCAAGCCCTCCTCCACCACCGCACACCTTGCTTAAGAGCTTTCAGAAGCCCTGGGTCTGGAGCCCCAGGGGGCAGGCCATTCGAGAGAGCAGAATTCTCCCTCCCTCCTTCTCTCTCTTCCTTTCCTCCTTCCTTTCATTCCTTACCAAATTCAACTCATGTTTCCCGAACTCCTTCTCTGTGTCAAGAATTGGAGAAAGAAATTTCTCCTCACTCTCTTGGAAGGTTTGAAAGATGAATCCGGCCAAAACCCAGAAATGGAGCCACTGGGCTGGAGCGATGGTTGGGGCAGTAGAGGGCTGGCACGTGGGCAGAGGGGCAGAAACGGACTCTGGCTGCATCCTGAAGCAGGCTGCCCAGAACGGAAACGGAGGAAAGAAAGTGCAGAACAGCCTCCCTCACACTGCATGCCCTTTCAGTGACACTCTGTCCCTGCTCCCCGTGGCCTGTGGCTCTGTGAACACTCGGGCAGAGGGTGCTGACTCCGAGGCACTGGCCCTGGGGAAGGAGGAGGCTGAGCTCAGAGGGTAAAAGGGCACCTGGAACCCCCACCCAGAGAGGCAGGCAGGGAATGCAGAAAGCGGGAGTGTGGCCTTGTTTGCTTTCTCCTGCTGCGGTGACTCCTGGAACTCTCTCTCTGAAGAGACCTTAACTTCTAAATGTGTTGGCTGCTCTTTCTCCACCAGGGAGAAGCTTAAGCCTGAAAGTGCGTCACCTCACTGCAGGAGCAGGCAGAATATGCCAGGGCGCTGCTCCTCAGCTCCTCAGCACAGAACAGAGGGCAGGGGGAGCTCCGAAGGCCGGCTGCCCTGCACACACTGCACTGCAAGCTGAAACGTGTGCCGGGGGAGCCACGGCTCAGGTGAGAGCTCAGAGCTGACAGCACTGGGGAGGGGACTGTAGCCCTGAGGTTGGTTTGGGGGTGTGGGTTTTTCACTCATATACGTATCTTGTATCATGGAGTGGACTTCTGTGTGTACTGGCTCCCTAACTTGACCTTGGGGATTGAGGAAATGTCACCCACTTCTGTGTCACCAGGGAATGCATTCCAGAGCGGACTAAGCCCACTTGGGGGTCATGGTCAGCTCATGTGCATTTGGGCGAATTGCAGGAGAGCGGCGGAGGGGTCATGGCATAAACAAAACCCAGGTCTGCAGCTCTCGGCCCTGACCAGACTGCCTCTCAGGATCTTCCTCAGGACAGCAGAGCCCTCCTCCGGGGAGGGATGCCCCTCAGGCCAGAAGGAAATTCAAATCCAGACTAAATGCATTTAAAAAAAAATTTTTTTTTATGAGACAGAAGAGAGGAGGAGGAGGAAAGGCCCTGCAGGCAGCTTTGAGCTTACTGTACAGAGGGCACCAGAAAAATGTCATTTGAAGAATGGGCAGAGGAGACAAAGAGGGTAGTGTGACAGGAAGCCAGGGAGGAATAAAGCCAGGAAACAGAGTGGGCGGGGAAGAGGGCCACAGAGAGCGGAGGAGGACCTCTGTCAGGAGGAGGTGGGAGAACAAAGGGGGCAGGGATGGTGCATCTCAGCGTGAGGGTGGCCAGGGTGGAAGGCGGAAGGCGGAGCTGCTAGATCAGAACCTGCTCCGTGTTTCTCCCAACGCTGAGTTTCACAGGGGCCTGGAGAGTAGCAGCCCCAGTTGGAGGGCCCGGCCAGCCCTGTCAGACGCACTGTCCTCCTGCCCCTTCTGGTTTCCTTAGCTGGAGCCGGCCTCCACCTGCCACTGGCCGTGGATGACCCCACCTCCTGCCCCGCACCTGCACACCCAACTGCCAAGCAGCACTTGCCTGAGGGGCAGCCGCACTGGGCGTTGGGAAGAAGGACGTGGAGAGAAGCTGTTTCTGTCCACACTGTTTGATCCTTTGGGAGCAGGGTATGTACTGGCAGGGCAACTCTCAGGACGAAGGCAACGGCACTGTAGGAAGGAATGGGGTGGAGCGGCCAGGCCACGTGGCCAGGCCTAGGCTGACGGCCCAGAGCTCATTTGTTCACTCTACAAGCGTTTGTCGAATGAATGTCTGCTAGAATAGAGCAAATCAGACAAAGTCTCTGTCTCTTGGATTCCAGTTTACATTCTGTCTGGGGTGATGGACAAGCGAACGGCAAGTACTTGTTCCGCAGGCGCCGTGGTGTGGTTTGGCTTGCCTGGTCTGGGTGGTCCTCACTGCTCAGCCAGGTTGAGGGGCTTGGGACCAGATCCTCTCAACTCTGACACAGCAATACAGAGCAGAAGCACAGTCCAGACTTTGGGGCACCAATACTAACTTGATTTTGCACCAACGTTTTATGCATTTTATTTTTCTTCTCGCATTTCCAAAATAGTCACTAATCCTTTCAGGGTAGGAGGGAAGGGAGGCCTCCTCCGGATGGAGACACATCGGCCGCCTCTGGGCCTTCTTCCCTCAGCATCTTCCCCTAATTCACCCTCCTGAGCCCTGGAGGAGCCTTTATAACATGCTGATCTCATCGTGTGATTCTGGCTTTAAAGTTGGTAATTGGCTGGGATGCTTTTGACTCTCAAGGAGTAGAATGCTGCCAGCGAGGATGTAGGATGGGGAGCCTGAGAACCTAGTGGCTGGGAGCACAGTGTTTAGCGTCAGCCTGAGTTCAAACTGCACCTCTGGCACGTCTGAGTCACGTGAAAGGTCAAGCCACTCAACTTTTCTTTCAGATGCATTTCCTCATTTGTATAATGTATAGCCCATGGACACAGACAATAGTGTGGTAAAGGCCTAGGGTAGGAGAGGGGCTGGGTGGAGGGGGGAAGGGGGAACATCTGTAATACTGTCAACTATAAAGAATATATATTAAAACAAAGAACAACACATTACCAGTTATAAAAGGTCCAAATATATAAAGTACAGCATAGGGAATATAATCAATAATATTCCATGGATTTTTAAAATTTTATCTTTATTGTTGAAAGTATTACAGGTGTACAGTTTTTAGTGTCAGCCTGAGTTCAAACTGCACCTCTGGCACGTCTGAGTCACATGAAAGGTCAAGCTACTCAACTTTTCTTTCAGACGCATTTCCTCATTTGTAAAATGTTAAAAAAACACAAATTAAATAAACAAAAACACGCCCTTCTCACTATGTAGCTGTGAGGTCAATCTAATGAGGTAATTAGATAACATACTAGAGGCCCAACGCACGAAATTCATGCTAGGGGCTTGGCCCTCACAGCCCAGGGTTGGTCCTGAAGGTTGTCTGGAAGAACATCCGGAAGGTGTTTGGCTGTCCGGTCTAATTAGCTTATTACACTTTTCTTATTATAGATATAAGGAACTTAGCACAGTGCTCAATAATTGGTAGTTTTTTTAAAAAAATCCATGGAATATTAGCTAAAGAGCATATATGCATATTTGCATAACCCATCAACACAGACAATAGTGGGGAGGGGGTGAGAGTGGGGTGGAGGGGCTCAGTGAGAGGAAAAAGGGGACACCTGTAATACTTTCAACAATAAAGATAAAATTTTAAAAATCCATGGAATATTATTGATTATATTCCCTATGCTGTACTTTATATATATGACTTTTTATAACTAGTAATTTGTTTTTCTTTGTTTTAATATATATTCTTTATAGTTGACAGTATTACAGACATCCTCCCTTCCCCCCTCCCCCCAGCTCCTCTTCTACCCTAAGCCTTTACCACACTATTGTCTGTGTCCATGGGGGACTATACATATATTACATATATGTTCTCTGGTTAATCTCTTCCCGTATCCTGCCTGAGATTTTTCAGTCTGCTTCATGCCTCCATGTCTCTGATCCTATTTTGTTGATCAGTTTATTTTATTCAATAGATTCCACACATAAGAGAGAGCATGTCAATATTTTTTCTTAATTCCTTTACTTTTTTTACTCATCCTCCCAACCCCCTCACATCTGGCAACCATCAATTTGTTCTTTGTATCTATTAGTTTGTTTCTTCTGTTTCATTTGTTATTTACTTTGTTTTTTAGACTCTACAGATAAGTGAAATCCTATGGTATTTGTCTTTCTCTGTCTGACTTATTTTACTTTGCATAATACCCTCTAGGTCCATCAATGTTGTCACAAATGGCGGGATTTTATTCTTTTTTATGGCTGAGTAATATTCCATTATATATATAAGTACCACCTCTTCTTTATCCATTTGTTGACAGACACTTAGGATGTTTCTATATGCTGGCTATTGTAAATAATGCTGCAATGAACAGAAGGGTACATATATCTTTTCAAAATAGTGTTTCTGTTTTCTTCAGCTACACACCCAGAAATGTAATTGCTAGTAGTTCTATTTTTTAATTTTTTTTGAGGAACTTTCATACTGTTTTCCACAGTGACTGCCCCAATTTACATTTCTACCAACAGGATTTCTTTTCTCTGAATCTTTGCCAACACTTGTTGTTTGTTGATTTACTAATGACAGCCATTCTGAGGTGGTACCTCATTGTGGTTTTGTTAAGGGCAGAAATAGAATATTGAGGACTAGCTATAATTGTATGAAATATTAATCATGCTCTGTTAACTATGATTGTTCTGATTAGAACAATTCTAACCTGGCTGAGAACTGCATGCCTTGGGACTTGGGAGCTATCCTCGGAATGCAGTCCATCCTCCTTTCCCAGGAACTGCCTACCATGATGGAAAGATTTACAAAGTCCTGGAGATGCTTGCCCTTTGCAACCCCTATTGCCTGTGATCTGGTCCTGAGGGCGCCCGGAGGCACCTACCCTTTGCAACCCCCAGCCCGCATTGCCTATAACCTGTCACGGTTACACCATGCCTACTTTGCATGCCTGTAATTCTTCCTTTTCCATGTCATATTTGCCCTTCTACCCGATGCAAGCATCTGGCTTATGAGGAGGGGTAAAGCAGATTTCTGTTGACCTGCTGCTCTCCCACACTGCCGGCAGCACTGGAATAAACCCTCATATATGATTCAACCCTGTCTCCGCTTCACTGGCTCAAGTAGTGACAGGCAGCCCAGACCCCTTGGTTGTCCAGTTCCAGTTTTAATTTGCTCTTCCCTGATGATTAGTGATACTGAATATCTTTTCATATGTCTATTGGCCATCCTTATGTCCCCTTCAGAGAAATGTCTAATCAGGTTGTTTGCCCATTTTTATTTTTATTTTTATTTATTTATTTATTTTTTATTTAAAGATAGCTTTATTTAGATTATTTTCACTTTTATTTATTTATTTTTTTAAATAAATCTTTATTGTTCAGATTATTACAAATGTGATCCTCTTCCCCCCCTCAATTGCTCCCCTTCACCAGGTTCCCACCCCACCCTCTGTCCTTTTCCCATCCCCCATTGTCCTCATCCATAGGTGCACAGTTTTTGTTCAGTCTCTTCCCGCATCCCCACTCCCCTTTTCCCTGAGAATCGTCAGTCCACTCCCCTTCCATACCTCTGATTCTATTATATTCACCAGTTAATATTATTCATCAGATTTTTAAATTCCCTTGGTTTTTAGATTCACTTGTTGATAGCTACATATTTGTTGATCATAATTTTTATCTTTATCTTCTTCCTCTTCCTAAATAACCTCCTTCAGCAATTCATATAATTCTGGTTTGGTGGTGATGAACTCTTTTAGCTTTTTTTTATTTGTGAAGCTCTTTATCTGTCCTTTGATTCTGAGTGATAGCTTTGCTGGGTAGATTATTTTTGGCTGTAGGTTCTTGTTATTCATCACCTTGAATATTTCTTGCCATTCCCGTCTGGCCTGCATGGTTTCTGTTGAGAAATCAGCTGACAATCTTATGGGTGCTCCTTTATAGGTCACTACCTGCTTTTCTCTTGCTGCTTTTAATATTCTCTCTTTGTCTTTTGCTCTTGGAATTTTAATTATGATGTGTCTTGGTGTGGTCCTCCTTGGATTACTTTTGTTTGGGGTTCTGTGGGCTTCCTGGACTTGTAAGTCTATTTCTTTCCCCAAGTGAGGGAAGTTTTCTGTCACTATTTCTTCTAGTACTCTTTCGGTATCTTGCTCTCTCTCTTTTGGAATCCCCATAATTCTGATGTTGGTTCGCTTGAAATTGTCCCAGAGATTTCTTACACTATCTTCAACTTTCTGGATTCTCTTATCTTCGCCCTTCTGCAGAGGAGTGTCCTCTGGCTCTTTGTGTTCTAAATCTTTGTCTTGATTCTTGCGATCTTCTAGTCTGTTTTTAGGACTTTGTATAATATTTTTTATTTCAGACAATGTTTTCTTCATTTCTTGTTGATCCTTTATTATTTCTAGTTGCTCCCTTTTCATATCCTCATAGGTCTCATTTATTTTATTGTCCTTTTTTAGGATATTGTTGAATAACCTTATAACTGTAGTTTTGAACTCAATGTCCAATCTTTTCTTTTCCTCCATCTCCTTCCTTTGTGTCCTTCTTCTTGTCTGCATTTTAGTTGTTTCCCTGATTTGATGGAATAGCTTTGTGTGCTAGGTGTTCTGGTAGAGCCCAGTAGCACAGCCTTCCCAGTTACCTGCAGTGGACAGTCTTGGTGTAGCCCTTTGTGGGCTGTGTGTGCAGTCTTGTTGTTAAGCCTTGCTTATTGTTGGTATCACTGGGAAGCATTGATCTCCAAGCCAATTGGCTGTGAGGATCAGCAGTGTCTCAGCTAGGAGGGTTTCCGTATTCTGCTTGAATAGGGTGGGGTCTCGGGGTGGCGCAGACAATCTTTGGTTCCCTGTCAGTCTCACCTTAGAAAAGTCCTGTTCGTGGAGAGTTTTGGAAGATTGGTTGCAGGCACACGCACCTCTTTGGTAAAGGCGCAGTCAAGTTTTGGATTCTTGCAAGTCCCTCCTTAGAGAAAGCCAGCCTCTGGGAGAGCTTCTGTGCTCAGCCACAGGTAGGGCGGAGTCTCGGGTTGGTGCAGACAAACTTTGTTTTCCCTTCGGCTCCTCCCCAAGTCCCGCAGTAATGGCCTCTGGCTTCACACACCTCCAAGAGATCTCTGCCCACTGCCTGACAGTCTGGCCTCTCCCTGTCTGGGGCCGTTTATCAGAGCAATAGGGTGATTCTGTTTTCCTCTCGGACAAGAAAGCCAGCCGCGTTAGCTGTTCGCCCTCTCCGCGCCAGGAGTAAGCCAGTAGTGAACTCAGCCTGGCCCGCCCTCTCTGTGTGCAGGGAGTAAGCCAGCAGCAATCTCGGTCCGGCCCTTCCTCTCCGCACCGGGATTAAGCCAGCGCCTTTTTGCGCACACAGTTCTCCGTACCTTCACAGTTCCTGAGGTTCAGCGTGCCTTCTCTCTCCTTCCCAGATGGCAGAGCCTCCTCTCAGCCAGCCGTCTGGCGCTTCAGGGCAATGCCTCCCCTGTTTTTCAGTTCTAAATTCAAATTTGTTGTGGTAGGCTGCATTCGGATGTCTACCCTATGCCGCCATCTTGGTTTCTCCTGTTTGCCCATTTTTAACCGGATTGTTTGTTTGCTTTGGTGTTAAGTTGCATGAGTTCATTATATATTTTGGATATTAACCCCTTACTGGAGCGATCACTTCCTAAGTTCTACAAATGTCTAATCACTATGTTGTACACCAGTAACTAATATAATATTGTATGTTGACAGTAATGGAAACAAACAAACAAGCATGGAATAGATACTCTAGGAATGCTTGGCTCTTGGCCCGCAGAACCAGAAGCAAGTCCAGACCATGCTGGCCTGCCCTGGGGGTGACCTTTTTCAGCCCCTGTGTGGATGCC